ATAATTTGTATAACTTCAAATTTCCTTTTTACTTGTTCGTTTTATTCCCTTTTTTCTTTTTTTTTTCTTTTCTTATAGTAAATACCCTGTATATAAATGATTGCAAATGGAATGTGAAAATTGAATAAAATATTTTATAGAATAAAGCCTTCAGGATGTCTAGTTGCTGATACTGCCGTTCAGAAAAAGAAAATTTGAAGTTATACAAATTATAGTGGGAACATGGAGTGTAAGAAGCATGAAATGGGCAAGTTCATGACAATAAAATGAAATGACTATGCACTGACATCTTAGGCATCAAAGAATTGAGATAGGCAGGGGTTGGCTCAGATCACACTGTTATTACTCAGGGGTGATAAACAAAGAAAACATGAAGTTGCTTTTATATTTAGGAAAGACATGGCAAGAATATTAATTGGTTACCATGTAATCATTGCAGTCCTTCAACTGGAATGAGAAAAATTCAACCAAGGCAGACTTTTTACATTTGAACACATTAAAAATATGCAGACATAGCAGATGTCTCTATAAGATACCTGTTCGTTTCTCTTTATAGGTGTAAATGCTTTATTACCATGATGTTCTATGACAGTTAGAAACCAAGCAAAAGTGGGAATTTTATATTACTAATGCAAATGATTTATTATAATTATTGTGGCATATCTGAAGCATCATGAAGCATTTTCCAACAAAGCAATGCATCAAACACTCACTGCATTCTTCCAGTATAAAAGATGTTTCAAAATTACCAATGTATTTTCCTGGCTAAGGAAGACCCAGGTTCTGATGCTGTGCATTTTATACACATATGACAAAGAATGAAATAAATGGAATGCATATCTGTGTCCTCTAGTGAAGACTTTAATCTGTTTTAAAAGGCTCCTTTTAACTACTGCTATGGTTTGTGATCTTACTTTGTAGGAGAATTTCTTGTCCATGGGAACAAACAGTTTAGGCAAAATATCTCTGGTATCAATTAGTATTAAATGTTTTATACTAGATGAATTCTTAAAGGGAATTTAGATTCCATTGAAATGAAAATTAAAGAAATAGTATATTAAAGATTTTCTATGAGAAGTCTTTTCTGTTTTGTTTTGGGAGAGGATATAATTATTTTAAAGGTAAAGATTCCCCTCGCACATGCATGCTAGTTGTTTCCAGCTCTAGGGGGCGATGCTCATCTCTGTTTCTAAGCCGAAGAGCCAGCTCTGTCCAAAGACGTCTCCGTGGTCATGTGGGTGGCATGATTAAACACTGAAAGCGCACAGAGCACTGCTACCTTTCCACCAAAGTAGTCCTTAATTTTCTACTTGCATTTTTTACGTGCTTTTGAACTGCTAAGTTGGCAGAAGCTGGTACAAGTAATAGGAGCTCACTCCATTATGTGGCACTAGGGATTCAAACCGCTGAACTGCCGACCTTCTGATCAACAATCTCAGCATCTTAGCCACTGAGCCACCTTATAAAAGCCCTTATAATAGGCAGCTGTAAAACAAATAAGTAAATATAAAAGTAAATAACCTTTTGTGCACTTTACCTGGTTTAATTAAAATAAAATATATTTACCATTTACATATTATATTGAACATTTTATCTTTGTGTGGAAGATATGCTATCATAAACTGGTATTGGACCTGGGTACTTGAGAGACCGCCTCCTGCCGATTACCTCCCAAAGACCCATTAGATCCCACAGACTAGGCCTCCTTCGAATCCCATCTGCCGGCCAATGCCGGCTGTCAACTACCCAGAGGAGGGCCTTCTCTGTGGCTGCTCCGGCCCTCTGGAACAATCTCCCCGTGGAGATTCGGACCCTCACCACCCTTCAGGCTTTCCGTAAAGCCGTTAAGACCTGGCTGTTCCAGCAGGCTTGGGGCTGCTGAGTTTCATCCCCACTCGAACTGGTGTGCTTGTTGAGACCTTTTAAATTGTTTTGTATTGTTGTTTGTTTTTGTTGCCTTCCCTTTTGTATTGTCCCCCCTTCCCTTTAGTTTTGTTAGCCGCCCTGAGTCCCTCGGGAATAGGGTGGCATACAAGTTGAATAAAACCTCAAAAACCTCAAACCTCAACTTTAGGATAGAACTGCAAATCTATATTTTATCTGATTTTATATAAAATAGCGTACTTATGACAAGTAAGGTTTTGTCTAATCATTTCCAATTACTTATTGCAGAAGCTTCAAAACTGTTACATTAATTATTGCACAATTGATGGATACAAAACAGATGACATGTACAGAAACACACACACACACACTCTTCCATAATCATTTATACTGTGGCTGATTTTATTCTTTTTGCAGTTTCATACTTCAGGGTTTAATTATATTTCTTTCCTTAGAGCAACATAATATTATTGAAGGCCAATAGACATGAGAGATTGGCCCAAACTCTGTCACAAATATTTTACTTTCATGAAAAATAAGGAAAACATATTACACAATCTGATGGTTAATGAACAGGCTAATGTTCTTCCTCAGCAATGAATTAATCATCCAGATTATGAAATGATCTTTTAAAGTTGTTTGAAAATTGCAAAGCCCTCTTGTTTAGATCTTATGCTAGATTTTGCAAATTTTGTCACTTTTTGAAATGCTTCTGAGAGTCCGACTCCTGTAAGTGCACAACAAGGCTGTACGTACCAGTTTTGGTTTTGGCATTGCTTCTTCATGTTGAGTTTCTCAGTTACTTCTTCAGCACTCAGAGCTCCAGGAAGATCCTGCTTGTTTGCTAGTACAACCACAGGTACATTTTTAATACTGTCATGTCTTAAAATAAGCTCCAGCTCTTTCTTTGATTCTTCCAAGTGCCGCTTGTCAGAGCTATCAACAACATAGACCAAGCAATCTGTGTCTTCCAAATAGTTGTCCCAAGCAGTCCTCATTTTCTGCTGACCTCCAACATCCCATATTGTTAAGGTCATATCTTTTGATGTTTTAATCATCTCCACATTAAAACCAACCGTTGGCTCCGTTAGGAAGACTTCATTACATTTTAGCTTGTATAGAAGGGTGGATTTCCCAGATGAATCTAGTCCAAGCATTATAATCTGGGCTTCTTTGATTTTCAGTTGTGTAGAATTTATAAGCCCCATTTGTTAAGCTGTTCGTTTTGTTTTCTGTTCTCCTTATGGGTTTGGTGTCTGTCTCAGAGCAGAATGGCTGGTAAAAGAGGAAGCAACAGAATATCAGGTTTCTGTTTTGCAATAAGAATAAGGTTGGGCATGTATTTGTTTTATGACTTTACTTGCAAACATAACTTTATAAGCTAAGGGTGGACTTATATTGACATAAAAAACAGAAGTTGATTAATGCCAAAGTAAAATGCATACAAAGGTTTTATTGTTTTGCTCTTGTGACATTTCTCTTTAGACATAATACTCTTAATATAAGGGTAAGTATAGTTTTTCACAATATTATAGTACAGGAAGTCCTCAACCTATAACCACAATTAAGACCAAAATTTCTGTTGCTAAGTGAAACAGTTGTTAAGTAAACTTTGTCCTATTTAGCAAAGTTTCTTATTATGGTTGTAAAGCAAATCACTGCAGTTGTAACACAGTCGTTAAGTGAGTCTGGCTTCTCCATTGACTTTACTTACTAGGTTGGATAAGGTGACCCCAGAACATTGCAACCATCATAAATGTGAGTCAGTTGCCAAGCATGTGAATTTTGATCATGTGACCATAAAGATGCCACAATGTTTGTAAGTGTGAAAAACGGCGACTTTTTTCAGTGTCATTGTAACTTTGAACGGTCACTAGCAATAGCAATAGTACTTACACTTATATACTGCTTTGCAGTGATTTACAGCCCCCTCTAAGCGGTTTACAGAGTCAGCCTATTGTCCCCAACAATCTAGGTCCTCATTTTACCCACCTGGGAAGGATGGAAGGCTGAGTCAACCTTGAGCCGGTGAGTCCCAAACAGCCAAACTGCTGGCAGCCGGTGATCAGCAGAAGTAGCCTGCAGTACTGCATTCTAACTATTGCATCACATGCTCTGTTATAAGCCGAGGACTATCTGTACAGTATTCTTATTAAATCACCCATTCTGTGACATCCTCCATCTAGACTCCCATCATTGACAGTTTAAAGGCATGCAAATGCAAGTAGATAAATAGGTACCACTTCTGGGTGACTTTCAGTAGGAAGCTAATAGCACTCTGCAATGTCATGCTGGCCACATGACCGTGGAAATGTCTTTGGACAGCACTGGCTCAATGGCCTTGAAACAGAGATGAGCACCGGCCCCTATAATCGGCAACGACTAGCCAGCGTAACAAAATCTACAGGGACTCTTTTACCATTTTTTAAAATTATGTAAAGACAGTGAAGACAGCCTCTCCTTAATAGTTCAGAGAGTATATTTTAGATACAGATAGTAGAGTCCTCAGTCTGGCAAGATTTTGTCTGGGAGTCATGTGATCGCCATTTGTGAGTTTCCCAGTCAGCTTCTCACAAGCAAAGTCTGGGGGAAGCCAGATTGGCTAACTGGCCACGTGATTCTCTAAACCAGTGGTCTCCAACCTTGGCAACTTTAAGACTTGTGGACTTCAACTCCCAGAGTTCCTCAGCCAGCTTTGCTGGGAGTTGAAGTCCACAGGTCTTAAAATTGCCAAGGTTGGAGACCACTGCTCTAAACAATTTTCCGTAAGTGATTTGCTAAACAACTATGGCAAAAAATGATTGTAAAATCAGGTGTGACTCACTTAACAACCATCTTGCTTAGCACAATTTTTCCCAACTGTGATCATAACATGAGGACTACCTGTAATGCTCCTTTCCCAACTAAGATAGGATCCTGCTTTTAAAAAAAAGATAGGGGAGGGCATGGTTAGTAACTGGGAATCATAATACATTGAATTGATTTCTTTTGAATAGAATAACAG